GGGGGGGGGTGGTACTTTAGGAATTTCTGGGCGGGGATGTGCCGCTGAGACCTTGAAACCCTTAACCTATGCCAGAGCCAGTTTAGCTGAATTTTGCTACCCTATACTAAACTTCCCTAATCCCCCCAATCCTAGAGTAGCTGTTTTCCAGAAACTACTGAGGTCACTAGCACAGTCTAGCCAAAACAAAACCTTACACCACAATCCGTAGTCTAGATAAAATCTTCAACCAACTGATCAGTTTCCTGAAAAATGATACCCTATTCGAGACCCAAACTCTCTGATTTATAATAATATTATACCCTATCCTAGAGTAAACTGCTTGAAAACCTTACCCTTCACAGCGGCACATACCTATATCGCCCATGCATGGCAGTATACCCCCCTCCCCCTGGTTTAATGTCCCACATAATAACATTAACAGAGCTTGTTACTGTTTACCTGAAATATCAAAGAACATTTGAAAAAGACTCTCCCCAGTAGCTCAAATTCATACAAACAAAATAGTACTTAATTTATTAATGTACTAAGTGACAAGTGACATGGTTAAAATAAAGAAATAGATGTGGTTTTAGTTTATAGAGTGAGTCCATGATGTCCTAAGAGTAAGACTGTTTGACTTGTTGCAAAGGATTATTGGTTTTATTCTTTGATGCTGATGTATTTCTTTCTTATCTCATAGAAATGGCCAACTTTTAAAACATAATTTTGCAAATTTTGCAACAATTTAATGGCAAACGGATGAAAATAAAACTGCTTGTGGTGATATGTGCGATATGTTAGCAAAGTCACAAAATGGCTATCTTTTCTTTTTTTATCTCAGGACTACTTGACTTAAAAAACTAATTTTAAAATATAGATTCTGTCAGGAATAAAGACATTGCCATTGTCAGTGGAGAATGGCTGAAAGGTTTTGAAACAAAGTTACATGTACTGAAGAGTTATAATGATCATTAAAAGTTCATAATTTACTTTATTGACTCTACAGTGTACATAAATTTATTGCTTAATAAACTTCTTGTGTACATCTTTTTTTCTAAGAAATAATAGCCTGTACACAGACATTGTGTTATTTTTTTTCGTTCTTTTCGAGCGAGGAGCACGAGAAAAAAAAATTTCTTCTTTCCCCACCACTCCCCCTTGCGCTCGATCCTACCGAGATTTTACTTTCACACGATGCATTAGAGCAGCTGAAAACTAATTTTCATACAAATTTTCGCTTCAAAAGGGCTCTTGGTTTTGTGATAGAGTATGCTTGAATTTCTAAGCTCTTGCGTGAAACAGCATTTACATGACGGCCAAGAGAGCTGTCATGTAGGTTAAAAAAAATGATCTATTTCAGGAAATTTTGCTATCTAAACAGTTTATGTATTAGAAAAAGTATTACTTTAATGTTTATAAGTTTCTCAAAGAATAAATTAACGCTTTTGTAGCAAAACTCGGCAACATTTCTTCGGATAACTTGTACACGAAATATTCCTCTGACCTGAATCTTGGGAAGGTCTTTGTTTTTGTACCTCCTTTCATTTCCCAGATTCTGCACTTTATCTATTTAACGGTTTTGATTTCAGATTTTGATCTATTTTGAATGGCGTGACACTGAAAACCAGCAATAAAAACAAATGTCATATATCAACAAAGGACGAAGGTCAAAACTTTAATTTTTAGTCATGACAGCTGGTTCCAAGATGTTGTGATCAATAAAAATTACAGTTGTCGTCCGGTTAACCTTCAACGGATTCCTGTTCCTCTCTGTCACGCAAAGGCTGGGAATCCGCGTCACGGACGTCACGAACTCCATTCCCTGGACAGCGGTTTTCCCGCCAAAATATGTGATCTCTTATCGATCTCGGAGGGTGCGTCGGCTGCATCAAGTACCCTGCGTAATAATTTTTTCAGACATATGGCGAAAAAGAGATCCAGATCTGTTCAGGAGAAGAACAGAAACACTTCTTCTGCCCCTAATGGTCGTGAAAAAAGTAAATCTATCCAAGGAAGCAGGCGGAATTCACGACTTTCGCCGCAGTCTCAAACAACAACACGCTCGACGCACTCAGTCAAGCAGGACTTGAAATCGACACGCGTTCCTTCGAAGGGATCAACAGGGAATAACCACGATGGCGCAAAGGAATCGACTAAACGTAAGCACTTCCAATAATGCTAGCTTAATAGCTTAAGTTTTGTTCTATTCCAGTTCCTCCTCAGTGGCCTGTATTATCCACAAATAGACCGGGGATTATGTAATACGGATTTAGTTAAAACAACAATTCCTTGTACGGCAAGCTTAATTTTTGTAAGCTATTTACCGTGTTGTTTAAGCTTACGTCTAAAAAAACAATATCGTTAATCAAGATCTTTTCCCGATCTGGTATAACAGTAAATAACTCTTGAAGTTCATTGAAGCGCCTCTCGGGCCGGAATGATATCCCCTGAGGGTGGATGTGAGGACTGTAGTTCAAGGTTTCACCAGTCACATACCTTAAAATTCCGAAAGTAAGCCCCTCCAAATATAAGCCCCCCAAACTTGTAACGCAAAAAACCCTCCATAAATCGCCCCTCCGAATATAAGCCCCGCGGGGGCTTGTACTTGGAAACTGTCCTCAAATACAAACTAAAACTGAAAGCAAAAATGGTCAATTTACTTCCAACTATAAGGCTAGCCCAATCGATTTTGAAACGCAAATATCCCTCCATAGATAAGCCCCTCCGAATATAAGCCCCTTCAAAAATAAGTCCCTCAAAAAGGGCCTTTGAAAAATATAAGCCCTGGGGCTTATTTTCGGAATTTTACAGTATGTATGACTAACAATAAATGGAGGTTATAGAGTGTGGGTGACAGTGATTAGCGGTCTAAAAGCTTTTGCTCTAACACTGCGCTTTAGGCAGGTTTCACAAGGTAGAAGGCCAAAACGCATAATCAGATCAGAGGTAAGTCCAAACGAAGCTGGCTACATACACGTACAACTACATGTACCTGCCACATGCGTAGTAGCAATCATTATCTTGTGTCCCGCAAATACAATTTCTGCACTAGGTTAGAATTGGGAGATCTACAACTTATGTATATGTAAGTATCCTAGAATATTTTCTGTGTTATATAAAATTACCTACTTGCTTGCAGGCTGTTTATCTGGTGGTAAGAAGAGGAACCTTTCACACCAAGAGTCAAGTGAATCTCCTTCAAAAAAGCCAAAAATAGACCCCACCCAAATGCAAGCGGAGAATGCAGCTGGGAAAAAAGACAGCTCTCTAAAGGGAAGTAGAAAAAGGGGTAGACAGACAAAACAGGTGCCCAGTGAGGGCCTCAAGGAAGAAAGAATAAAGTCACAGGCCAACATTAAGAAAGAGTTAACATCAGGGAAAAACCATGTTAAACAAAAGAGCCCGGTAAAACTTGTCAGTGATGCCACTCCAGAGATGTGTACAGACTCACCGAAAAAGAATAAAACTATTGGGAAAAAGTTAAAGCTAGAGCTAGTGGGTATTAAGGCAAAAGGCGTTGCTGATAAAATGGATGAAAGTGGCAGCTGCTCTGATGATTCTAGTGATGATGAAGATGTGGCTTGGGAAGATGTTGATGGTAAGTTTACCTTTTTATTTCATTTTGAGAAGGGTCTTTTTCTAGGGAATCAATGAAATGAGACATTACTTTATTGAAAGCATAATTACGTCAAAAGCTGACATACACTACATTGTATGGAATTTTGAATTTCACTAGTGAGAGAGAGCTAACTTAAACCACTGGCTCTTATTGTGCTGGAAAACATAGACATGAGGTAATTTTGAAGTTGCAGTTAAGTAAATAGGAGGCTTGACTAACAGATCAGCTTTCTTAACAAGTATGATGATGGGAACACACTTTAAAAGTGGAAGAGGCACAATTGTTGTAAATATGAAAAAAAAATGTACAAAACAAATGACAAAATGATTATTTTTTGTTAAAAAAAA